TCAAATTATATAGACGCGCGAGTTGACGACAAAAAAAGTAGGCAAAATCGAAAAGTGCCAACTCGCGCGCGCTCGCGAGATTCGCGCTCGCCAGTTGACGATTAAGTCCAAATTAACAGCTGTTTTGACTACATACAGTTTGAATCATTGTTGAAAACAAATTATTGGAGTGATCACGAGATTTTTTGAATGATCTGCCCCCACACTTCCTGTGGATGAGAAGGTTAATCAAAATGAGAGGTCAATGAGTAATGTGTATCTGGAATTAGTCTGTGTATATTCTCATGTAGATAGTATAGTATATGTCGAATGAATGAAACATAATGGTACTTTCACACGACTGCTATTAAAAATATTTACGTCGTCAGATTAAATTAATTTTGGAAAATCGACAAATTAATTTAACATTCATATGGGAGACCCATTGGATTACAATAATTGTATGTTAATTTCCAAGAGCCTAGGTGTGAAGACTTAACATTATACGTTATACACATAGCTTTGTTAAAGCTCGAATCTGGTTGAGCAATTGAGCATCAACAGTCAACCGTATATGTCTGTTTATATTTTATGATCCTGAAACTATCTGTATTTATAAAACCTCATATAAGTTTTTACAAATATATATAAATAACTTTCGTTAGACATACTAAATAAATTATTATGTTTTCGTAGCAGCACCGCGACAGTCGCCGCGTCGCAAGTTGCGAAATGCTACTCATGAATAAGAGCCTCTAGCGTGTCTTGAAACTACTCGAGTTCCTCGTTAAATAATTACGTGAGTAAGTCGAAAACATAATAATTTATTGAATATAGAAATGTACATTTAAGTGTCTTTCATAATATTTTGTTATTATCCTCTCCAAAATGATCATCTATAAGTAAGACAATAGATAGGTAATCTACATAGTAAGATAAAATGAAATGAATCATTCACCACATCTCATGTCATGATGAGATTTGGATAAATGACTCACATTTATTGATAACAATAATATTATTATCGTTAAAGTATTTACTATAAGGTGTATTATATTTTTGAGAGTCGGGTACTGCGTCATACTGATTCATTGGCCGATTGATTGTCAAGTGGTACTGTTACAGTATTTTATGCAATATAGCGGTCAGTGAAAGAAATATTGAATGTTCCTAATCACCACTTATAACAATATCTTGTTTACAAACGCCACTGTTTCATAATGGGATATCGTACCCACACGCGCAAAGCGTTTCGGGTTTTATTAGAACCGCTACGGAGTTTTTGAGGCCAAGCATGGTTTTTTTGAGGCCATAGTATCACTCCGGTCGAGCCAGCCCATTTGGGCTAAAGCATAGCTCTCTCACATCGAAAAGTGAAGTGAAACTATTTGCCAGGTTTTGTTACCCAAAAGGATATTAACTAGATATCTTCAAAGCTCGAGTTAATAGGTTGCTTTTGGGCATACTCCATCGTAGGCTATATAGTGGCTTACCACCAAGAAAGATGGTGGTATGTCGCAAATTAAAATAGTCCACATCAGCATGGTGGATCCCACGAAGAATTAAGACCGGTCGTTCGATCAAACACTATAGATAATGTGCCTTTCAACATAAATAATAGAAATGGACTTTTCAGAAATATTAACAACAAATATTAGTAGTATAGTAAACTATTATGGAGGAAAAATTTACATTTACACCTGCGTCATTCAATTTTATACGAAGACAGACTGAGATGATGAATGATTATTATATTTATAATTTTGTAACGTTTCCTCAGAAAGCAAACAGTCACCCACGCTTCCATTGATGCAATAATACGGCCATCTTAATTTAAACCAAATATTTATCCGAGTTCTATTCTAGTAAACCTATTATAAGTAAGTCCGGAAAACGTGAAGGAAATTTTTGCGATAAATAAATATTTTGATGATGGTTAGAACCATTTATAAGTGTTTATTGAAATTTATTTCAAAATAGTTTCTTGTGAGAACGTTTATAATTTTTAAGAAAAGAAATATTGCGATGGTATATTTTACAATTGCGTTTAATTTTGATTTAGTTGGCTATTTCTTTATACATGTCGAGATGCATGTTGGTATGGAAGCTAAAAAAGAATACAAAGATCGTAGTAGGTGTTACTAATTAGTCTCTGTTACTCCAGACCCTATGGATTCGCGGAAGACTTAACGGGTTGCCGGGGTTCCGGATCGAAGTGTAGGAGTAGGAACGGGGTGGTTTTAGTCGGTAGAAGTCTGACACTCCCTCTCGCCTCACCCGGGCGAGAGAAGACATTGGAAGATTTTCACCACTCTACAAAAAATGGCCCTAAGGATCGATGCGTGATTATTTGGCAGAATCATCACGCTAATTACTTACAGTCTTTATTAATGTATGTATGTATGTATTTATGTATGTATGTATATATTTTATAATTATCTTTATTTTTGTTTATCTCTGAAATATGTAAGTGTACCTATTTTAATGGCTCAATTATATCGTTACTTGCTTCTTGCTCACACCATTAACTCTTCTCTGCATCACCCAAAGGTCAGACAGGGAGAAAATTCCTGCGGCATTAAGTCCACCTTATGTACACATTGTGCATGAAGCTTAAATAAATAAATATTTCTTTATGTGTAGACGTTTTATATTTGTTCCTTAAGTTCGTTAATAAGTAGATCTGGCCACTCAAAAATTATTTTAAAATTTCGAAATACACTAAAATCTTTCGTTTTCGCCAAGGCGCAATCACAGATTATGTCTAGGAATTCGTTTTACTCCTACAGACCTGAAAACTGATTTATGAATTACACAATCATCAATAAATCCTCTGGAACATTTGTTACAGAAAAATTTCACGACCCAGTGAACATGGACAGCGATAATAAAATACAAAACAAAATTTATTTGAAATACGGATATTTATTTATTTTTTCATAAAAATTCTAAATTCAATAATGTGTTTAAACATGTAACATTTACATATATGCATTTATACAAAGATGTATGCAATGTTAGTGACATTTTAATACTAAAATTGGAGCGTAACAGACTTCCGATGCCGATGAACGTGACAATCACATAATTATTACACTTACAAAATAATATTTACCAAGTATTGTCAAATGTAATGTTATATAAGGTTTATTGTGTCAATACGAATTGTTAGTTATTATATTTGATGAGAATATTATGAATACTGTGCGCTTTTCTTTTATACTAGCTCGAATCGTCATATCTTCATAAACAGTTATTGATAACAGATTTTTTTATTATTACATATAATATTATTTTTTTTATTAAGTACACGAAAAGTAATACTGATATATTTTGGTTTATGTAGATATCACACGATCCCATCAATATAGTAGCTTCCCTTTACGTTCGAGTTGCAACTATTTACAAATGTATGACCAATAATGATTCTGTTATAATGAAATTGTTATTGAACATATCATAACCAACCAATAATTATTATTTTTATGGGCATCGCTGTTTTTTCCAAAATATATTGTTGGAAAAGCTCTATTCAACGCAGTAATGCACATTAAATTAATAAATTTTCTTTTATCGTGGACAAAGAATGTTATAAATCTAATTCAATTGTATTATTTCAATTATTATTGCGCACATTAATACATTGAATAGATTATTACTACATTTATATTTGTGATATTAAATAACAAAATAAATATTGTAATAATTATTGTTGTTTTCTATTACGCTATAGTTATACAGATTCAGTCAACTCGGAAATGTAAATTAGAAATAAAAGTATTTTCTATATATTATAATAAGACGAGTAAATATATAATTAATTAATATATATTATTGAGATTTGGACTAGACAAACCACATTCTCTATCTACAGATATGTAATCCATGATAAATGCTAAGATTTAGAAAATCTATGTCCCGTGTCGGTTAGTGATGTGCCTATCTACACACCGTGTGCATTTTCAACGTCATCAAATATCTATTACTGGTAGAATTCTTAAAGGACATTAAAATTTTCAGAAAATTCCATTAAAAACTATACAACTGTCAAAAATAGAGGTTACAAAAAGGAAAATCCGTTATTTATAAAAGTTTAGGAATGGATTAAGAAAATAAAGTTATCAGAGGTGCACTTAATAGAATCATTATAATAATGTTATTATTAAATTAATGCTATTGAAAATGTACACATTATTAAAATGTTATTATTTATGTGACGACTTTCAAACGTGTTTTGAGTTTTGGACTGTGATATTTTTTATTATTATAATTATATTTTTTATAATAATTATTATGTTAATAAATCAACGAGCCGTTATTGTTATTCGCCGTAATATAGCCTTAACAAATTATTTTTGAGCACTAGGGCCTTAACATGGAAGGTATTTACTTTCATTATAAACAACAAAATATTCAATAAAATAGTTGTATGATTAACATAAATAAAATTCTCTATATATAACAAATACGGTGTGAAATGTTAACCGCTGTTATATTTCTGTATGTAACATAAAATTTATTATTATTAACAATATAACATCGGATTTATTAAACAGATAAACACGACAATTATGATGTTACGTCATCTTTACAACAATATCACAATTTTCAATAATATACAAAAAGATATTGGAGATTATAGATTATACTTCAAACAGGCCAAGCTTATTAAAGTAATAGCAAATACTGTGATATACACATTTAACATATACTTATTGTTATGTACATACATATCTGTTTATATAGCGGATCACATACATATAATATAGGTCACTCAAAACGGGACACGTAAAATAATTATTGATTATTTTTTTAAAGATGACAATATACCGCACATTTTTATCCATTTTGTTACGCGACACTTTTTGAAGTAACATTTATTAATACATTTAACGGACAAGTCTATAACATCCATAGAATACACAGATATTTCAACACCAATATTATTTAGTCAGATTTATATGACGACGTACAAAGTAAATCAAAACACACGATTTCCTCTGTAGATTGACTATATTTATCGCGGAAGCCATTAGTATTAAACGTTGCGTTTGAATAAAGATATATGCTTCAAGATAACTTTATATCTAATTCTATATTTAAGTACAGACGTCAAAAAGCATCGCGTAAAGGATTTCAAGAACGAACGACGGCTATGACTATATTATTAATTCCATTTTATATAACACTCATCACCTAAACGAACATGCTTTATAATCTTCGCATTATTCTATACACCACGCATTTACTGAAAGGAAAATATAAACGCACACCTCTTAGCACTCAGGAAATATCCTCAACACTTTTACACATTACCGACTCGACAGAAGCATTGAAACCAATAAAAGGAAATAATTTACATAAGGCCATATATCTTACTGTACACGTATAACGAGTAGATGATTAATTAGATAAATAATTATGTTGCATTTTTAATATTAATGTTTAAGGATTAATTCATCCGTATTTACGACAGTTTGGTCCATATAAATATTATTACATAAATCGTGGGTCAACGATGCGTTCGCGAATTTAGGTACCCAGCGAGAGAAGTTGGGCTGATTGATTTAGGAAAGAACACTTCGCGACTGAGCAATAAAGAATTAAAAGAGCGAAGTTAATAAAATTATGGAGCGCTAAGGGCTTGTTATCGTCATATAATGGAAGTTATAAGTGTCTCTTGGATAGGAAAGTGTATGGTATGTAGCTGGATGCCTAAGTCGCGTCCGCCGCGGCGCCCGGCCGCCTACGGTCAGTCTTTTCGGCTAATGTTTACGAATTTGTGCAAAATATTCTACTATCCGCGTAACTTAACAAAGATAAATTTTATTTACAAAACACATCTCCGTCGAGATTGTACGAAACAAAACGAACGAGCACTGACCGGGAGCCGCCAGAGCGCCGATGTCACTTCCAAACTCCGTTGCAGTGGCTTCGTCTCTTTCGTACGCATCGTGCAGAACATGATTCTGTCTCGTTTGCGCACATTAAACTGTTTTGAAATACTAAGGGACATCACAACCGGATCTATCAGTCCAGTCGCAGTCTTGGAGTTGGTAGGTTGTGTAGAATGTTGTGGCACGTGGGGTTTGTTTAAGTGGTTCACGCTGGGCCTGGCGCACCAGCAGGTGCCTCGGTCCTCATTTCTGACTTGAGCTTAACGAACTCCCGAGCAACTTCATCATTGTGCCTTTGAGAAAGTATTCTTAGTATCGTCCAGCCAGTCTCGTCCATTTTGATTCGGGTGCCGAGAGGCAACCAGCACGCGATGGCACCCTGAAAATGATTAAATAACAGTGAATGATTTTGTCATCTCTAATATAAACGTCAATATTACCATCAAATCATACACGATTAAGTCAGAAAAAGTCATAAAGACACTATACCTGTTCAACAATTTCGGTCATGCGCATGATAGCGACGCCGACCAGCCTGTCCTCGCGTGCGAAGCAGTAGTCACGAACACACACGTGCAGCTCGAACAGGTCCAGCTGCTCCGTGTTGCTCACCATGCTGGAAATTATGGAAACAACCATAAGTAAACCACCATACATTTTTATTTAGACTGTATGTGAAAATGACCTAAAATGTTGAAACCAGTTTTCAAATATTATTGGCACTTATACTCACAAATGGAAGGTCTCGTTGAATTTGGGACTCCAGTTGTTACTCTTGGACTTGGTGGCAAATTTCCTCTTCTTCTCCGCTAGGTGTGGACCGATCAGATTGACCTCGATGAACGGACGGAACATACCGCTTTGGATCACCCACTTCAAATCGTTTGCTGCTACGACTGTAAGTGACATTGTAGAATAAGTCACTTATGAACATGACAATTTATCGAAAACATTATCTAATTTACATAAGTTTAATTCTTATAAAATACAATAAAAAAAGAACTAGTTAAGTCCCTTACCTTTTACGGTGATCTTATGTTCTCCAGTGTTGGGATGAGTAAACAGATCCACTTGCAGTGACACCTCGCCCACGCTTCCCTCTTCCACGACTGCAGCGTCTCAAGAATTCAGAACATTAAAATGTAGCATATCATTGGTTAACAGACGTGCTTTAGAATCATGTGATAGGAAAACAATTAAGAAAAATAGTTATACCCGAAACAGTTAAGATAAAGCTACGAAGAAGATGAAAAGAGTATACATCAATCTGGGATTAAAATCTCCATGTTTTAATCGCAGAAAAGGTGCAATATATAAAAACTGTAAATATGGTATTTTATTCTATTACCTTGATTCTGCTGACAGCTAACAAAGGTCCTGATAAGCGTATCAGTAGTTTGTGTGTACAAGCTGAGAGCATATCTCAAGGACTGCAGTTCTGGACTCTTTTCTAAGAAGGCTTTCTTGAGTCCATTGCCTCCAGCGTGGAAGTATAGCTTGATGGTGTCCAAAGCGGCGTCCAGTACTCCACACTGTTTCGGTGTCAAACTCTTCTCCGCTGACAGATGCTGTTGGAAAAAAATTTTTATATTAGGATGTCATATATATTCATGTATATTCACTGTGCCGTTTATGTTTCTGTCATCTTAATATTGCGTCTCTTTCAACTTCTTAATATAAAATTACTGGTTCATTGTTGTATCACACAATAACTAGATGCGAAATTTCTGGTTATATTGCTGACCGAACTGATTACATATTGTTCACTCAATTTTACTAACAACAATAAGGATTAACTCGAGGATATTTCTTTTTTTTAGGGATAAGCCTACCACAACCTCCCAAATCCGCTGCAACTCCTGTAAACCAGGATCTACAGTAGATACAACCATGAAAACACCAGAACACTGAAGTCCGGCGCGTCCCAGGGACATGAGTAACTGTCTTGGTTCCCGCAACGAAGTGAATCAGAAGATATTATAAGAGGAGAAGAAGAACTACTAACTAACTCGGGGATATTATTAAAATAATTTTGTTTCCATATGAAACAGATAATTTTTAAACCACCAGTTTTGTGATTTACCTCTTTAGATATGTCCATAACGCCGGATAGTGCATGTTTGACGTCCTGTTTGCCCACTGTGCTCTTGAACAATTGGGTCATGTCTTCGATCTTTGCATTCGCTGCCAAGTTCTTAGCGTTGTTCGTCAAGTTCTTCAACATCATCTACATTAAAAGACAAAAGCACAGCTGAATTAATGTTCCTTGAAAATAAACTATTTTTAATACTATTTTGCTAAAATTAAAATCACACAAAGGTTGGTTTTGGGACTTCAGCAGTTTTGTAATTTCAAAAATGTGTCTAATGTAGAACCCTTCTCATAATATTATAACATATTTCATTGGGTCTCACCGTCTTATCAGTCATAGGCGGGAGCACAACAGTCTTTTCTAATATCTTCATCACAATCTTCCACAATTCCTTTAGTAGTCGTTTAAGAACAGTCTTTTCACAGGATTCCGCGTACATTGTGAGAGAGCCATCCTGGACACAAAGACAAGAATTAGTTAGTCATCATTTAATTTGTTACAACTGTTACCGTTGATAAAATTGGAATGCCGTAAGGTAGCATATTAGGTCCTTTTTACACTTATTGTCACAATGTCAGTAGTTTTCATACACAATGCTAATAATTCTTTATTAAGTGTAATTTCCTTACCAAAATATCCATGAGTGGACGTAGAACTTCATCAGCCTCGTGATGTACGGGAGGCTGTTGTTGACCAGGGGCTGCGCCACCTCCAACCTTCTGCAGTAATTCTCCTAACTCCTTCACACTGGCTGTGATGCGTGTCTCCAAGCTAAAAATATAATAAATAGGTGTTCCATTCGACCTTTTATTGGTGGAATATCTTATAAAATTTACTAGTCTGAATTAATTATGTATAACTGGTTAGTTTTGTAACTTTAACATGGTAACTCGACTAGTTTCAAGTCACACAAGGGACTCATATTAATGAGTCACCACATTGAATGATAGTAAGCTGTTTACATTCACACGTCTCACGAGAACTGTAATACAAAAGTATGTTACTCTACTTGTATAAGTTATAGGGTATCTAGACTCTAGTCCAACCTATTCTAGTTGTGTATTTTAATTAGACTTTACTAACGACAGCTGATTTGGTACGTTACCTGATAGCAAACATAGACGCCAGATCATCTAACGTCCCGTTGAGCCTGTTTTGTAGATCTTTCAGAATGTCAGCAGCATCTCGCTCCAACTTGGGACCTCCCATAGATTCGAACATCTTCTCTAATTGTACCCTCAGCTGTTGGATGTTGTTCATCAAGATGCATGCCTGTAATGAAATATAATTTTATTGATGTGTGTAATTACTGTAGTGCGAAATTGTATCGAAGTTAAGTTTCCTTCATAACTTTAAATTTTGGCATTCATATTTGGATCATAATAAATTAGCATGGTCAGAAGTAGGTATGGCTTTGTCTTAGTTGTCCCAAAGTTCCCATAACTATCTACTCCTTCTTAATTTATAAAGTTAAATAACTGTAATTGCAATAACTGCAACATACCACTCGTTCCTCCTTTAGGTGTTCAGGGAATTCCTTCTTCACAATGTCGGCGTAAGCCACAAGGACCTTTACGATGGTCTTTGCGAACCTCTTCATGTATCGCTTCCAGATCTCAGGGTCTGGGCACTCGAGCTTGGAGACCACGTCGAAGCATTGTGTTAGTTGTGTAAACACGTCTACCACTGAGCAACTGAATAGGGCGTGCTCGCTTGATTGTTGGAACTGGAATTCAATTATTTTTTTAGAGATTACGTTTTTAGGTAAGGTAAGTTGGTAATAATAGACTATGTGTTTATGTGGTGTACAATAAAGCATTAAAAAAAGACTTTTATCAGAACTTCACGTAGCCCAACAATATTCAATATCAGTCAAAGATGTATTTTTTTATAATGTTACAGATTAATTCTCCACGGACTCTTGGTCCCAAAATTAGTCAAAGATGTTTATTTAAATGACTTATTTTCTCAAAATTTGTCATATTCAATATTAAGTTGCCTTCTTATAATATACAATTGAATAAAATCAGTACCTACACTAGTAGGTATTTAAGACAATTTCTGATAATAATTTCAACTTACCCCATCCTTCTTATCCCTGTTGAATGCTCCGTTGAGATATTCCAAAGATACATCATCGTTTTCATTAAGCCACTGCATCACGAAAGGTTCGAACCATGCTGGGTACTCTGGCACAGCTCCGCAATATGGCGGCACGTCTTTCACGTAATTTGTGTGAAGCCATTTTACCTGTTGAAAAGTATTCATATAGTATAAACAATTCTATCTCCTTGTATATCGAATTATCGAGCGATATAGCCGACAACTTGGTAAATATACAATTACAGTAAAATATTGTAAAAATATTCACGTTTAGAGGTAATTTTACTGAAATCATAATTTTACTTACCTTGAAGTGTAAGTTCATGTAAGCCGAAGACTTGCAAAGCCGATGTTGTTCATGTTCTTCCAAGGCATACTTCATGTCTACAGCGAATAAGGACCACATCGTTGCTGCTGATAGCTGTACATAGAGATAAGAGTATTAGTATTATAAATGCTTTTTCATTCTTTCTTTCTTTATATTGAATTGCTTTGCATAGGACTTTATACAGACAGGAAAGCAATGAGCATTGATTTTAGTTTTCTCAATGTTTATTATCATGTGATGTCTCTTGTAAATTGACATTCACACTATACAAAATTTTAGCAAGAGGATTGAAGTTCATACCTGACCAATATTCAATTCTTGGGGGAACTGGTTTAGAACTGGGGCATAACTATTCCTATCTTCCTCTATCACAGATACGATGAGAGCAATCAGTTTGTGCCAGAAATCTACAGATTCCAGCTGAGGACCGTGGTCGGCAGGATCACGCTTCGCTTCATTTGGATCCACCTGCATAATAGATTAGTATTTCAGGAGTGTGGTTTTAAACAACTTCATATAGTCTTCTAAACGGTTATTTAGACTTGTCAAATAGAATATGGTGAATGCTTTTGTATAAATATTATTGTGTATACTGTGGCAATTAACCAGAGATCGATTTTGATGATAATGCTGAAGAGGTTACATCAGAAATTAATTATAGTAATTTAATCTTTGGTATGTCAGTGTTGAGTGTGTTGTTATGATTTCATTTATAGGTATTAGTATTATTAGGGATTTACCTGGAACTCCCTGTTGTACAGCTCGTAACAATTCTCAAATAGAAACTGATATGTTGATCTAAGGCATGCCTTTACACAGTCTTTGACCACAGTGCTGGCGCGGGGCGGACTACTTAGCTCCTGAACCTATAAAACAAGAAAATATGTACAATTTAGAACGAGTTCCAAAGAATTAGTTTCAAAGTGCTGTTGTAAGAGTTGTCAACGTTTCTGTAAAGGTCTTCATATCATTATTATGTTTCATTTCATTTATCTAAAAAAATGAGTACTGTTGTAGGATTTGTAAACGTTTCTGTAAAGGTCTTCTTTTTGTTTTTTGTTATTATGTTTCGTTTTAGCCAACTTCTAAGTTGTTTTATAATAACTATCGTGAGACAAACTAAATTAACTAAAAATCGCAGGTTGCTCACGTGAAAATTCAGTAGGCTGCGCAACATCACCGCGACCGCGCACGCTGCTTAAGAATGAGGAAGAACCCCTCTGTGGTTCAAAACTAGTAGAGCTTTTCTCAGTATTTTCACTTGAGTAACCCGCGGTTTTTAGTTAGCTTTTAAGTTGGTTCAAGCTTCAGATTTTATAAGCTAAAAGTTGATCAGTAGTCTACTTGCTAATAACTTAATCTTCTATTATTTTTAAAATTATGACTTACCTTCATTCTAAAGAACGTGATGCTGGTCAGTAAGTCCACTGTAGACTTCAGATCCATGAGCTTCTCTGCACTCGACGCCGGGAAGTTGTTCCTATACATCGACAGGTCGATCCTCAAAGAGTTGTGTAGTTGATCCAGCAATTTCACGAACTTCTCTTTCTGTAGACAAATGCAGAATATCATTTGTAAGAATGAAGTTCAATTGTTTTTACTCCTGATAAAATAAAATCATTTGATTATTATTTTATTGCATTATAATATTTTAGCGATTACAGTTTACTCTTTTATTTAATGTTTACAACTTTATTTTTAAGGTCTTAAGATCATTTTAACATTTTTGATCACCGTTTTGGTTGTAATTTCACAGATACATCCAATAACTTGGAACTGCTTCAAATATAATTTGTACTTACTCCAAAGTTAGAAGCTGCAAATCGGTCCGACGCTGATACTGCAGATGACGCGGTGGTGTGAGCGTAGTAGGCGTTGATGTTGGCCAACAACGTAGACATGACTGCTGGCACTCCAGCACACAAGTACTTCGTTGAGAGGCAGTGGAAATGTCTAGCAAGGAAAAACAATACCAATTTATTCTAATTCTCATCCCTTAATGCTGTAATAAGAAAAGGACATAACCTATGTTAAGGTTTTTGTTTTTTATAGTTTTGTGTACCATACATTTAAGATTACTTTTTTTATTTTATGATTTAAGTTTTTTTATAGCATAAGCCGGTAAACGAGCAGACGGATCACCTGATGGTAAGCAATTGGTGCCGCCCTTGGACACTCGAAATACCAAGGCGTTACAAGTGCGTTACCGGCCTTTTGGGAATTGAGAATTCGAGGATTGTTAAGTTGCTTCTGTAATACCATGAACTTTGAAATTACAATAAATCGAAAGATTGAGTTGTGCTTTTTGTAAACTGAATAATGAACAACTACTTTTCTAGTTATTGTTAATGTCACATGATGTGCCTGTATAGAAAATTAGAAAAATATGTGTTTGTTATACATAACAAATTGAAACTCACGTCATGGCCTGATAGATGGCTTCAATTCCATATCTCATAGCGAATTCATCGACAATTTCTTCAGGGATTTCATTGAAGTAGACCTTCCAAGCGTCGTCGCCTCTCGCAGCTGGTAACGTCACCGCACCATTGTTCTCTTCACACAGATAGTGGAAGAGGTTTTCGTGAAGACACGTGTACTGCAAAGAAAAAAGATGATTATAAAAATATGGAACGAAATATTGCTTTAATATTCTTTTTAACACTTATATTGCACGCATGAATAAAAGTCATGATATAGTTTGATAAGTTTGGAAAATTCTCTCAGTGATCTTTTATTACTGCCTAAGCACAAATTAATTAAATTTGTAGCACACTTTTTATTACTAGCAATGGATAAATTTTTCTTAGTCGATATTGCTTGCATACCATCTAGAAAGTTCCGTAGAGCCATTACAACCTCTACGCCCTAGATATCTATTGAGTTATTTTCATAAGAATTTTTATTAGGAAAATACTCACTCACGTTTAAAATGTTAACATATTTTTGTGATGCAAATAAATTGAGTTCAAGAATTTACATTTACAATATCACCGGTATTTCAATAAATCTGATCTAATGCGTATAAGTGCTTAGCAGCGATTTCTTAATTATAGGATTGTTCATTCAGAGAAGTTGGCATGTTTGCGTGACATGTTACACAAAATTACACATACTTTTACTATATATTAACAGAGTTATCTCGATTTACACAAATCACGTTCCGATGTCAAACGCTCCACAAATAGTCAGATTCCCAATCTCAATTCCAAAATTGACCGCTACACCATAACGTATTCGCAGAGGACTAAAAGTTACAGATTAAAAAACTTGTGTAACAAAAAGTTAGTTGCACGTTTATTTTCAATTCGATTTTGTGTTTCTAAAACAAAATCGAATCCGTAGGGAAATCGCAGTGCTGACCGAAAATAAATTGAGTTTTCACTGTTGTCTGACCTGGTCTGACAGTGAGGAATATATGAATGAATATTCTGTGTAGTAGCCTATCTACATAGCCTGCTGAAATGTGAAAACTAATTTCTATGCCATACAAAATGTTTTCACATTTCCTTTCATAATACCGTGTTTGGTTAAACCGTTAATTATTTCTTGATCTAAAAAATTGGGCATAATAGAATACAATTGCGTAGATTACAAGAACTCAAGAATTCTTGATCACACACACATCCATAGATCACAATATGAACTTAATAGAAGTTCGCTCGGTGCTATCGCGCGGTGTAGAGGCCTTGTTGATCGAAACGTTGCAAGCGCAAATACCGAACACAGAATCAAAATAATGAAATAAGGGAATTTTATATTGAGTATGTACACTCTGCCTACTCGTTAATTACCTATGCTACTTTTGTCGACTTATGATTCGAATTTGACGATTCACGCTACGTAGTCGCACTTAGGACCTCTTAATCAACAAAGCATATACCCGCGCTAGCAATTTGCTCGCAGGCGGTACGCTAGCGGTTCATTCAATAGTACATATAGACGAGGATTTTTCTTATAAAAAATACCTTTTTTACAAAGATACAGCTCGTAATACGCCTCAACCACCGACCAAGAGTCTTCTTGATACAAAGTCTGAGCAATATTGTGATAACAAAGCGAAATATTGGCTTCGACCATCGTCCGATAGCGATATTTATGCATAGTTTTATTACTACTGCGAATATAAAGGCCACGGTAATTTTCAACCATCGTATTAGGATTCCAATGATTCAACAGGTTCCCTTATCCTTTATGCCCGACTAGTGATGCACCGGGACTCGTTAATTAGGAGTCGCGTACGCGGTGACCTGCGTCGCGCAACCAACTACTCGTTGCTATCTGCGCGTAGCGCGCCCTTTATGGCGCCGGTCGCAGGTGCGCAGAAAACCGGCGCGGAAAATCGTTATCGGTGCATCCAAAAAAAGTGCAACAGGATAACTTGATTTATTTTATGTAGGACACGTGTCCCTTTGTAGGTCGTTCGGTCCCTTTCCATAGTTATTTTAATAACTTTGGAAAGCTGGTGGCTGGTGTAGTCGGGAATGTGTCGGTGGGTTCAATATTTTTGGTTTTGGTGTTATGTGTGAAATTATAACCTAATATATCCTGGTTTCCGGGAAACTCCATGTATGTAAAATACTTTCCAATCAATTTTATTGTTTTAGGTTACAATATTTAATATATTATCAATGCTATTATGCAAACAAATAAAGATATTGTATAAAGGGTGCGCACTTGCGAAATTTTCGCGCGCTCTTCGTTTTTACAATAGTGCTTGTTAACTTGACTCATTTTTCCAATGTGTTTAACTTGACACAAGTGTATTAATAATGTTCATACATACATACATAACTGTACGCCTGGTTCCCATAGGTGTAGGCAGAGACTATAGAACGCCAATTGCTACTATTCCTACATACCTCTTTCGCTTCATCAACAGTCATCAATATTTTCATGCATGCTCGTTATTTAAGGGTCTGTATATTATGTACGTCTTGAGCGCCCTCTACCGACGGCCCCATTCATATCCGCTCTGTATACTTCTCTCGTTACTACTACTTAAGAATGTGTTTCACCATAATTTAGTTCCCAAACGACATGTTGAAAGAATAATACCAAATAGTGTAGTTTCTAATATGTACGATCTTAATTTAAAACAAGAGTCTTTCTTGCAGACAAGAACATAAATATCAGTATTTATCAAACATTGTTAAAATCATTTCATTGTTAAAATCAAGATAACTTGTAAATTAGCCATATTACCTACATCATAACGATGAAATCTGCATGAATCCTTTTTGCAAGGACATTTCATCTTACTTTCAACGCCATAATATTTACTTGAAATTTAAAAATATGGGACTGACATTTTCCATATTTCCTTCCAGATTTCTGTACAGTACAGATAGGTGTACCAGGACTCCATAATGGCGCGGAAGTGAAATGTTTTGACGTCCCAAAGTGGGAATGTTGTGGGCGAATTTGCGGCGATACCTTATCAGGCCGACGTTTGGGTCTGTTGGCCTAATCGTTCGTCGTTGGAAGGTTTCTGCTTTGAGTAGCGTAATGTGGTTGTGTTATTTATGTTTTGTTGTTATGTGGTTTCGTGTTATTTGAGTTGAAATTTTGTTGACATTACGGTTTACTGTGATATCACTATCTAGAGAATTTCGTTATCTAGGTTTTGTTTTGGCTCATGTTTATAGTTTATTTTATAGTTCATCATTAGCTACAAACGAAACAAAACAACAAAAAATATTTGTTATGTTTCTCTTTTTGTTGCTTTCCTTAAATTAGCTCATTGATAGATCTGGAAGCTATTATTCTTAAGAATGTTAAATAAATAAAGGAAAGAGCGATTCAGGCCCAACAAAATTATTGTGTAATAACTTACTGGGACTGCCTCAATGTCGGACAGATATTGGAATATTTGAGATAAGTAACAATTTGAATTTATTATAAATGTGATAATTAGAAATTTAAAAAAGTGATAATTAGAAATGTGCTAAATATTCATTTCTGAATTTGAAGTTGAAGCAATGAGAAATAATAATTAATTTAGTTGAAAATCACTCCAATTTGAAAGTAGCATAATTCCCCTTTAAACCTCAACACACACAAAAATACCCTATAATTCAGACGTCAAAACAAGACCTCGATCGAAAAAAAAACCTCAAAAACGGTAGCACTGTACACTCCTACATTTAGTTCCAACACTTAGCTCCGTATAATATTTTGGTCTCGCATTTCTTATCATTCGCTTGAAATGCAAATTTTCTTTATCTTAACCAATTCGTGTAATAACCTGTATTAAGATAATCAAAGTTTAAGGTAGGTATTTACTATGGGTACTAAGTAGAGAAGTTAATAGGCGTATTATCGTTTACGCTTTGGTTAACGTTAATTTCGGCTTGGTTTTTGGCAGAACGACCGAAAAAGTAGAAACTCATTGAGAAGAAGAGAAAGAGAAGAGTTTTTACATACATACATAACATCACGCCTATCTCCCATGGGGGTATGCAGAGACTAAGGAACGCCAATTACTACGATTCTTACATACCTCTTTCGCTTTATTAACATTGTTTACACAAAAATTAAATAGTTATATAGAGGTAGATAAGCATAACACACTCATAATCAATGATCAACAGCCTACAAGTGGCCATCGCTGCCCAAAGGCCTTTTCTCGCATGGAGATGGTTTGAGCATTAATCACCACGCTTGTTGATGCGCTTTGGCGATTTTGAACTTATGATCAGAAATTAAAAGCCTGGGTTCCTTCCTGGATGTCTAGATAATCTTAGAAAATACATCCTCGGAAAAAGATACAATTTCATAAAACTAAGACTTAGTAATTAAAATTTTTGTACCAAACTCATGTATTCACATTTCGATCCGCAGTGAACATCAGCAATACGAATAAGAACAATTGTCCCTCACAAAATTTTATTTTACTTCATATTATTATTATGAGGAGGTTAACCTTACTGTTATTACGTCATACAAAGTTACTAGGCTCACATACAACGTTAAGAGTGCTATAAACAGTATAAAAAAGCAATCAAATTACAACTCGGTCATTGACTTTGTGAACTTCAATTAAATAAGAGTATTGAAACTGCTTTACTTAGGAGGAAGCATAAAAATATACTTTTACAAACTTTTCTCTTATAAAACATCTAATTTTATAGGCAAAGTTTTCGTTGTTAAAATGAATGTTGTTTAAAAATATTTTTAGAAAATTGTTATGGAGTATTTTTGGGTAAATGTAAATATTTAATTATTTTTGTAATATGTGTGTAGGTGGGTCTAACTAATTGATTAGTATGTATGTATATGTATGTTAGTCTACCTCGTTAATCGAGTGGGCGCAAGTCTGGCTGTTCTCATATTATTAGTATTCCAATTTATACGAAGTCTTCCTTTCCAATTTGTCATTAACAAAATTTACGAAAAAGAAAACAATCTCTAAACAATGGAAGCCATGCTTCGGCACGAATGGGCCGGCTCGACCGGAGTGATACCACGGCCTCACAGAAAATTGACGTGAAACAATGCTGGCGTTGTATTTCGTCGTGTGACTGAGGTTACTGGAGGCCCAATTCTCCCCCACCCCAATCTCCCCAATCCCCGAATCTCCCACAATCCTTAAATTCC